TCTATGCACCTATAAAACTTGTTGCTCTGGTGGTTAGAAGGGGCATCGGCCTCGTGACTTCCAAAGAATCTCGGCTTTCATCCTGAGGCGTAATAATACTTCCTTCAACTCCAGTGGTATAGTTTAAATATTTTACTTTGTTTAATCTGGTTAGCGCTCTTTAGCAGAATTATTTTTACGCGGTGGAATTGACGAATTCATGCCAAACCATCCTCCTTTACTCGGACTTGGCACCGATAACAACTGTAGAATAGGTACAGGCAGAGTAAACAGAGTTGGGAAGATTTTCTGGAGTGTTCACAGAAGATAAGTTACTAGAAAAATTCGTCAAGATTTCATCCGCCAAGCGGTCAAAATACTCATATTATGCAATACTGAAGACCCTAAGTTATGTCGTGCGATGTTTTTCCGCGGAAGAATTATCGATGTGCAAATTGTACCGGAAAAGACGAACCCTGACCACACTAACTGTGATATTCAGGAATGAAGATTCATCAAGCAGTCCTTAAAGCTCAAAAACATTGACTCAACAAGTAGTGAGCTAGCCAAGAAGGGCGGAGATCCTGAACCACGGCTGATAAAGATAACTTCCCATCTTATTATATGGCGGCTGCAACTTTTGAAGCATGTCGTGCAGACAGACGTCGGTTGCCAACTGATATCCATATGCATCCGGATAGGTCATTTAACGACAGGATCAAATACAAAAGCAAGTTGGAGCTCACCAGTCGACGTGTGGACTGCCTAGGTCACAAAAAATGTGGAAATAATATGGGCTACCAGCTCTGAAAACCCTGTGCAGGTAGGTTACCTGTCTATTCATATGGATCATACAAACAAACAGGACGTGGAAGCTCACATGTTCCAAATCGAAAGCATAAAGTGATTATGTATAAAAGACGCGAGTTTCCGAATGAAATGGATGTAGTGTGTGAACTCGGTAATGCTGATAACGCTGATCTGATAGGATTATCTGAGACATGGATATATTCTCAATTTACGAACCAGGAGCTAGCAATACTCGGGATGCCTTTGTTTCACAATGACAGAAAAACAGTAATTGAGGATGGAGTAGCTTTATACTTATGAACTTGCCTAGAGATACATCTAGTGCACAACTAAGGGTTCATCAATCTTCAATAATTCATATGGTGCTCAGTAAGATTGTCTACCAACTCGAGGTGTCTATTTGAAGTCATCTACAGGAAGCTCATTACCGACATCGAGTACGAGAATCGTATGCTAGAAAGATTATCATGCTGTACTCGCCTCGGATTCACCCATATCCTGACTGTTAAGGACTTCAATCTTCTCAAAGTCAATGTGGTGGAACATACGTACATGGGAGATGAAAACTCAACTGAAGCTCTGTTCCTCAACCTCATTGAAGATCTGAGATTATTTGAAAACGTGAAATCGGTAATTCGTTGGAGAAACAGTCGGACACTGTCATGCTTAAAGTGAGTATTTACAAACGAAGAATTCCTAATTGATAACCTCTCAATCCTGGCTTCCCTAGGGAGAACCGATCACGTCGTCATAGCCTTCAGTATTATAAGCAAGACTGGGCTAAGGCATCCTACCGATAACAGGCACTGGAATTTCGAACGGTTGGATGTATCAGCGTTACACGACAATCTACAGTATGTGGACTGGGAAGTTTGTCCTCAACTTGATGTGGATGCTCATTGTGATTTCTTTCTGCACAAGATCTTATGTGCTACAAGACAGTCCGTTTCACCAACGGTCTCTAAAATCTACAAGCAACCTACAGTCATCAAGAACCGTAGTCTTCGTTTGTTAAGCCGCAAAAGGCACTGATGTGCGGAATACAAACGAACTGGCAACAACGACGCATACAGTCAATACAAACATATAAGGAACATATGCAAAAACGTGATATGGGAAAATAGGTTTCAGTACTAGATATGCAGTATCTCCTCGACAGACCAAAACTGGAGTTTCCAACTGTTAGATCTAAATGGCCCGATCAACAATGAGGGTGACGCTGCTAATCTACTGGCCTAACAGTACTCTAGGACGTTTCAACCAACCCACATTAACTATATTGATGAAAGCTTCATCTGAAAATGCACAGGATTTCCTGAAGTGAAGTTGAGCACTGACTTGGTGTATGGGAATCTGCAACACCTGAATAGGACACTTTTCTTTGTCCGGATATGATTCATTCTGCTATACTGAGGGAAGTTTCAATCTTGGCAACACCTCTTAGCGTGCTATTCTTGCACTCGCTAAGCCGAGACAAATTGCCTGAAATTCGGAATCTGGCTCATATCACATCAATTTTTGAAGACGGTTGACACAGCGAGCCTTCAAGCTTCCGACCGGTAGCTCTATACTCTCAGAAATTATGGATTCCCTGATATGCGACGGTATACACAACTATTTAATATCCTTAAACTTTTTTCACCCCAACAGCATGGTTTCAGGATGGGTCATTCTTGTATAACCAACCTGTTGACTATGGTGGACATATGAGCAACCATCCTTAATAGCAAGGGGAAGGTTGACGTCATTTACCTTCACTTCTCAAAAGCTTTTGATAGGGTCAACCATATATGTCTTTTCAATAAGCTCAAACGACTAGGTTTAGAATCACCTCCGATTGACTGGCTCACTTCATATCTAAAAAAATCGACGTTCAAAGGTCAGGGTTAACCTCACTTTCTTTCAGGCTATGGAGTGTTCTAGTGAGGTCCCTCATGATCCAGTACTGGAATCTCTTATTTTCCTGATTTATGTAGACGATCTTTCATAATAGGTATCGTCTGACTTGTTACTTCTTGCTGAAAACATCTTGTTGAAAACGAATTTTCGGAGTTTGACGGAAGAAATTTCTACATAATCTTCAACAGTTTTATCCGTCCTCATTTAGAGTACGGAAACATAGTATTCCCCCTCTCATTCCAAAAGGAAAAAGACATCCAAAGGCGAGCCACGAAATCAGTTCGTGGACTAAAATTCAAGCTTTATGAACAGCGCATCTAATCACTGAAACTTTACCCATTAGTTTACAGGCGTTTTTGGGGTGATCTTTTAATGGCTTACAGAATCCTTAACACTTATTGACATCCTCCTAAATACTTACTTAAGTTTAGCTCCAACGCAAACCTGAGGGTAACAACCAGAAACTGGAGGCACAACCTGTACACCTTGAGAATAGTCAAATGCTGGAATTCGCTATCGGATGGGCTAGCCCAAGCGACTTCCTAAAAGTCCTTTAAGAAGAAACTGGAGTTATTCTTAAGGATTAAGGATAGTGCCTTACTATGATCTATCAATTTCCTTTTCTTCTTTCATCGTTAATGTATCTAGGTTCCTGCCTGGAGGTATTGGTGATTCATTGCTACTAGACACGGAAGCACGTTAAGCGAAAGCTTGTTCTACTCCTCCCACAATCATTTGAACCATTTGAGCCATTTTAACTTGAATAAGACAGAGGAAGCAAATGGCCACAACATTTTTAAATTCAGAATTTTCCCCTTCAAACGGAGCTGCTCTACGTTTTTTATTGAAATTTAGCCACTATTAGTTCACACATGAATCCTGAAAAGATTTCGCTCTCTGATTCTATTCAGTAAGTTTTTCGATTTTTAAATATTTGTAGGCTGTGTGACCTTCACGATAACGCTCAGTCTACGTACTTTGATTTGTGACGTGTTTTGGTAGTCGGGTTTTCGTGAGAGTTGGCTAATATTGGGTCTCTGTATACCTTGTCTAAAACAAAGCTTCCATATTACTTTTATCTGTTTCGGCTACTTCACACTGATTTGAACTAGTAAAAAAATACACAAAGGCACTAGTGCCTTTTTTATGATTCAATATTTTAATTCCGAGATACTCAGTCGAACTGTTTCTCCCACATCTCAACAGTCTACATTTTCTAACAATATATTAATTATTATGCTAGTGGTCCGACTAATTATTTTACTGGTTGTTTGGAACTCGCCAAAGAAGTCATGTACATCTAACAGTATCATATATTTCCTCCTATTACTTATTACTAAGGTGTGTACTTATTTGGCAGTATCGGTGCAGTTTGGGGAGGTATTATGTATTACTATACCTTCTTGACCAACCATTATTAATGATTTGTCAGTGTTTCATTGAAGCTGTTTCATTATTAATCGATATTAGTAAATGGATCACCATACATTGTTGCGTTGTACAATACAGTACCGTTGCGTCATCTTGATGAGAGGAATAAGAATTTGCAAAATTATCACCAAGGCAAGTTAAGTTGCCCAAAGTGCATTCAGACATACGTCTGCGTTTTGTTAATTTTATCAGCTAATTTGGTTTTGAAAGTATAAGATATGCAAGTTAGTTTGGAATTATCTCGAATGTAAGTAAGAACTTGAAATAGAATGAAACTAGTATGTCTGAGTTCGACTCAGTCGTCCAGTGTACAACCGAAGTCCATGTAGGTTACTGCATAGCTACTGTTAGTTTAAATATGTTCGGTCGTGCGCTATAACCATGGTATTTAAAAGCTTGTTGCTCCCATTAAGTTAGGTCTGTAGATTAGCTACTGAGTATTAAAAATACACAGGTTTTGTTGTGAACAGTCTGTGCATTGTTTGACTTCCTTGAAACCGATCGTATCTCGACATAGACATCTACAAATTACTGTTTGAGATGTCTTATGTGCTATGATTTTTACTTTAGTGGTTGAAGGACAATCATTCATGTTCACTACGTTCCTTCATCATCTGTTATTCACTATGATGTGTAGTTATTGTTCTTATTCGAAGTGCCAATCGTTAAAATGTGAACCGAAGTGGTTTGTCACTATACTACATTTAGCATTGGTTCTATTTTTGCAACACCTCAGTCCACGATGGGTGTATATGTCCACCTATTTATCTTAATGTAATTTTGTTTATTCATGTGTCTTGTTTTTTAGTTGTTTGGATTGGTTCACCTTGTTACCTACCCTATATTTGTATATAGATTGTGCAATTTGTTACTCAACTTGAATGTCGATCATGGATTGTATGAATTCGGTAGATTCTTCACCTCCAGTAGTGCAAAAGTCTGCAAATGATTTGAGAGAATATAAAGTGATGCGTTTATGCAATAGGATGAAAGTGCTTCTTATAAGTGATCCGGAAACAGATAAGTCTGCAGTGTGTTTATCTGTGAACATTGGTATGTTGATGGTGGTTGTTTCAGTGTTATAATTCTAGGTTCACTGTCGGATCCGAAAGAACTGCCTGGTCTCGCACACTTTTGTGAGCATATGTTGTTTCTTGGTACCAAATCGTTTCCAACAGAAAATACATATTTGAAGTACATAACCGATCATGGTGGTCACTGTAATGCTTTTACGAGTCCAGATAGAACTTCTTATGTGTTTGATGTTGCACCTGAAAGTTTGAAAGGTGCGTTGGATATTTTCTCACAGTTTTTCATCTGCCCTCTTTTCACAGATTCGGCAACAGAACGTGAGGTTAGTTTTAATCTGGTTACTGTACATGGCAAGCGTTTGTTTGTTAGTTTGTTGTGAATGGAATGCGGTTTCAATACTAGGACAATGATTTTCGTCTCGATGCACATGTTTTTCTCAAAGAAATGTTTGACGCATCTGAGAGTTTCTATCAGTCGTTTCATTAATTAGGTGCGAAATTATGAAAACTCTGTTTTCAAATATCATAGCCCGATCACTGATATGTTATATATTGAGCGTTACCTTTGTGCTCATAATTGATGAACAGCACCTATAATTTTACAGTGAACAATGATTTTGATTGATTTTATGAACATGTGGACCACCGAGTAAGTAATATAGTTGTTAAGAAACGGGTACTAGGTAAGAATGGCAAATCAATTGATGAAGTAGTGGAACTTCATCAGTTGAGATGGCTGGGACACGCGTTACGTATGCTCAACCACCGGCTACCCCGACTTGCGATGTTTTATGGTGTAGGAGTAGGTTGGAGGAAAGCTAGGTCCGGCCAGACCAAAACATGGCACAAATCCATGAAGTGGACCGAGCCATATTAGTAGGTGTAGACTACCTGGTTGGGATCCGCCTGACGATAGTAACTGATGGTTAGAGACCTTGGATGACATGGCTCAAAATCGTTTGCAATGGCGCAGGTGCATCCACTTTTTGTATTCTCCCAAATTCTAATCTCCTGAATCCTCCTTGTCTCTTTTTTTCTCTTCCCAAGTTTGTTTCACTGGATTATAATCTTTAGACAACATCTTCGAACCCTGATGTTTCCGACTACTTCTTATACTTTTACTAACTCTACCACTGCGGGATTTGAAACGACAACTGCATCTCTGTGCTGATGTGGTGTGACAACTCTAACTGATGTACGTATGTACGAAGTTGTACGTTGTTATTGACTATGAACATGTGTCAACTGCATTTCGGCTGTCAAATCAGGTTTGTGGTAGTTATAGAGCATTTTCTGAAGTGATGCATTAAACGTCCTGCTTCGGTCTGGACACCCGAGTAGTATCACAGCTCACACACATAAAGTAACTTGTGTGAAGCATATGTATTCCGTGCCCCTTTGTATCAATATTTATGTGATCAAACAACAAACATTGAATGTATTAAAACTGGTTTCACAAAACTTTGTTTATCGAATATTGCTATCCACTATGTGTGCACGGATTAGTGTTGTAGGTCGTCCTATTTCTTACTCTATTGAGTACATCTTTCTCCGTTCGAGAATGAGATTATGTGTAAAGTATTGTAATATGCAGCACCTGTAGGTGATGTGCCTCTTCCATTATATTCAAGGTTGTATTGTGAATGCAGGAGTCCAATATTTGCTTCTGCTTCACTGTAGTACAGCTGCAATCGTGGTGACCGACAAGCTAGATGGAGAAATATAGATAGTCTCATTAGAATGTTTTGTATTGTGTTTATGAAAGATAAACCAAGGTACATCTGTCTTGTACATATAGATAATAATTGATATTGAGGAAGGTAAGACTAATATATTAAAAAGATAAGCAACTAACGAAAGAGTAGTTATAGTCATAATGGATTTCTAGGTTATAGTTTCGAAACCCCGTTTATCCTCCTGATTTTAGGTAGGTTGGTAGTATCTGTAAAAGGCCCGAGGATCTGACTCCAATTTAGAATGTACGAGTGTTTGCTATCACCTTATTCTCGTATATAATTGTCGACTTAGATCGCGTTATACAATAACGGAATTAAATAAGTCGAATAACGAGAATTGACTTGTGAATACATATATTTCGTACATGGAGCGAATGAAGCACAGCAAAGCAAAATGACACGTATGGGAGTTGGCTTCCCTGCGTGTCATTTTGCTTGGCTCTGTTTCATTCGCTTCATGTACAAAATATATGTATTCACAAATCAATTCTCGTTATTCGACTTATTTAATTCCGTTATTGAATAACGCGATCTAAGTCGACAATGATATACGAGAATCAGCGATAGCAAACACTCGTACATTCTAAATTGGAGTCAGATCCACGGGTCATTACATATCTCTCGTTTGCAGACACTAGCTGGTTATTGTAATGTAGATATTATGCAACTTTGTTCTAAATAAGAACTTATTTTATAACGAAGGTAAAGTCTTTCGACTTCATGAAGGATTATTTTTGTGATTATTTCATCTTTTATTGTAAAATGTAATAGTTGGATGCCTTGTACTGCCTAAGATTTTGTGCTTGTGTGGGTAATTTTGTTTCAACGAAAACAGTTATGGAAAAGCACTAGTGCGTGCCGATCCACGTGACAGTGTTAGTGCATAAGTGATGTCAATCAGAAAATAAAGCCTACGACTGCAGATAACGGTGTCAAGAGTATATTGAAGCTAGAGTGAGAATGGAGGATAAGAGTCAAATCAAAATGTAATTTAACTTTATTGATATAAATATGTTAAAAATGGAAATTCATTTGAGTTGTGGTAGCACATTGCGAAACTGATCACTGATATTATTTTATTCGCATATCTTGGTTGAATAATGATCGTCAAAAATTGGTTTGCAAAGGGACTTGTTAGCCATTTTATTGCGGATGCGGTATAATATTTTGAATTTCGTAGCGAACTGAAAAAATTTCTTACGCTTTTTAATTGTGGTCGTATCACTCTTCCCAATTCTCAGGTGAAGGTCGTTAAAATACATGCTCCCAGACCTGATATCGTCATTACGATATTTGTAAACAGAAGGGACTTGATTGTATTTTTTTACCCTCTGTCAGCTTGTTAATAGACGTTTTCTAAATAAAAGTGTTCTGATTGGAATTATCTTGAGCCCCGCATTTGTTTTCTAAAGTTATCAATATGGAGTTTATTAGCTATTTTATTTAAAACACTTGGTAATACCCGTTGGCTTAGTCAATTATACTTGTTTGGTGGTACTGGTACCAAGTGACAACATCATAGATAATTTACCATAATAATTTTACTGTTTGGACTACCACTAACAAGCCACGTTTTAATTTTAGGTGAGTGCTGTACAGTCGGAACATGAGAAGGACATTAGTAATGATACTAGACGTCTTTTTCAGCTAGAGCGAAGCTTGTCAAAAAGTGGTCATGATTATACGAAATTCCTCTCTGGTAATCGATACTCTTTATTTGAGTCCAGTTGTGCACAATCGGTGAATACACGCGAAAAGTTGTTGCAATTCTATTCAACATGGTATTCGTCAAATGTGATGGGACTAGTTATTCTTGGAAGAGGTACATAACATGTAGTATTGTTGAATTGAGATTGATTGGTGAGGTTGCTGACTTTTGAGATGTAAATTTCTTTTAAAAGATTAGATGTAACTAAACCGTTTTATATAATTTGAACACATTGTGATGTCAGTTTGTCGAGATTATGAGTCCTTATCGATATTTGGTACATTACCTATAGTTTGTTCACACTGGAGATCCTTGACGTCATATCTTCTACTATATTTAGATTGCCGGATACGTTTACCACGAAGTCAAGAATTATAGTGACCCATAATAGGGCTACTTTAATCTCAGTTTTTACTAGAATTATCTACATCCTAACTTTTTCGCTGAAAACTTGAACCCTGTTTCAATATTTTTAGTCGCAATAGAGTTATCTGCTAATCTCCTGATTCACACTATCCAGTAAATGCTTCGCGAAACGACATATTTATATACTCAACATAACATATCTTAGATATTATTATTTATTTTAAGACATATATATTGGTACAAGGAGGCACCAAATACATATGCGCCACACAAATCTCATTCGATATGTGTGAGGGCTGTGGTACTGCCCGGGTGCCCGAACTGAAGCAGGTGGTTTTCTTAGGGGGCCACTCCCCGAGCCTTCGACCTGAATGTCTGATCCACAGGGCAGTGGAGCATCGTAAGGAGATGCAGTCCCATGGAAGCCGGTGACCAACGATTGGTTCATACGCCATTTGTTCCCGCAGGATACTGGAGCCCATGTGCACCATTGGTTTGGTTTGGGATCCGGTTAAAGCGCCGGACATTCGCTTTTCGCCCTCCCATTTTCGTAAACAACACCAGTGGTACGAGAAGGCAGTGAGTAGGACTTCCCTGGCAGAGGCTATATACGCGTGGCCATGTGGGAGCATTTGGAGAGGAGAGCGGACTCTCCTACTCTCGGCCATACCAGGGCATTTGGGGGCCAATATCGTTAGGTTTTGTTACTCACATCCAAGTTAATTGAACGTGGCGGAAATACGATTGATCAGTGTTCGTGAACTCCTTCGGACTTTGAATTTGAAGAAAGTAATTATACAGAAGAGTAATCAAGTGTTATCGCGATAACTAGAAACTATTTTGTTTACAAAATGCGATCAAACGTAAGTCATTATCATGGCTACTCCACACTGTTCATCTGTCTCATCAGAAATTGAACACAATCATTTTATTTTAATTGTGATCTGTTAATTACAGGCGACAAAATGTGTTAGTGATGATGACTTCAGTGTATTGGGATCGATTACCTACAACTATGAGTTGACGATAAGATCGAATATTTTCAAGTTGTTTGTACAGATGAGGATAGTTAGTATGTCAATGTTTTTAGGGTTGAGAGCATTTGGAGAGCAGGTTCTTCAGTTGATAAAACCATTCATACGTTTCATCACAGTACTAAGCATGATTGGCTTCCACCAGACGACTCTGGAACTGTTATCATACTAGTTTTTTTGACATGTTGCCTCCTGATTGATCATTAGGTCAGGATGTCAGACTAATACTTATTCTATGTTATTCTGTTCATGTATTAGTTAGGGCATCTATTTTACGTGTTAGAGTGTTTGACTCAGTGGCCATGGAAATCAAGGTATTACCAAGTAAACTCATAAGCTACTCAATAATCAGATTGCTTTCAACAGCTTTTGTGTCTGGATTATTTTGCTTTTGGTTACTAACGATGATTCATGGAAAGTACTAGATAGGTGAGGAAGAGAACCGGTGTAGAACGAAGCTGGTTAACAAATTGGCCGAGAAGGTGGTACAATGCTCCATTTTGTGACTCATATCTAACTTCTGAATCAGATATTTCCGACTTGTGCATGTTACAAGCATAGCGACTACAAAATTGTTTAGTTTATATTTCTTCGTTTAATTGGAATTGGTTTTAAATACTAAATGTGATCAGTATTTACTTTTCCTTCGTGTTTGTGATTGTTTTTCATGAAATGTTTTCAGAATCCATAAATGACCTAGAGAAACTTGCAGAAGATAAGTTTTCGGAAGTTATTGATCGTAATGTTGTGCAACCATCATGGAACGATACTCCATGGCCTGATATATGTCTCAAGGTAACACTTTCATTTGACTATTATTATATTTAAGATGTTTTGTGAGTAAAACTATGCATATATGATGTTGATTGTTGCGTATGTGTTTAGTCTAGAAGATAATTAGTTGATTCCAAAAAGTGTTTAAGTTCATATTCTTGATTGTCGCTAATTATGCCGTTTGGATGCTGCGTTTTTTAAAGTTAGAGTAGGTTACTGTAAATTAAATGTTGGACCATTAAAAAAATTATGAAACTCTAATTATGTGACAAAAGTTGTGTGGTAATTTAGAGAGTGATAAGAAGCAGTTTTGTGAAGATAGTTTTTGGGTGAGCAATGTGACTGTTGATTGCCTATAGTATGATGAACACGTAGAATGTGAAGTTGGATACATTGAAATAGGTGTAGCAGAGAATAATGGCTTAGTAATAATGTTGCGTCGAGTGAAAGGATGTGATAAATAGTAACATGATCATTGTCTATTATCAAAGGTATGCTGAAAATGAATTTAATGGTTCCTTTGCAATACTGTTGTTTTACCTGAGACTCAAACGTATGAAAATAACAGTTGATATTTATTGAGCATTATAGTTTCCAAGTTGGATATGGAATAACGATGATGTGAATTTTGTTTTTATCGATATGAACATATTGAGTGATATTAGTCTTTTAGGTGTTAATTAGTTTCTAGTCTGTAGAATGTCTCGTGTGAAGTTTGCTTTTCTCTGATGTCAAATTTGTATCAGAGGCTTCATGGCTGTGAGAAGCATCAATGCAGTGCAATACTACTAGGCATTGCCAGAGATCAGTGAGAATAATATGACTGAGTAATGCCAATCACATTTCAGTTAGTGTTCTATTCAGAAATAAAGTCATGCATTTTGAATTTTAAAAAATTAGAATGTGTATGTGCTAGAATGTGGATTGCTAAATTGTCGACCTGCAGAATCGGAGTTGTGTTGTCACTGTGATTGTAAACTGCGAATGAAACCAGTGATTTATTTTCCTTGAACTATATAATGTTTATCAAAGTGTTAATAAATTGTAGTTTGGTAAATTAGAGAATTAAGGTAGAATAAATGTACATTTTGATTTTATCACAGAAAATGGTATATGTCGTCCCACTGAATGACGTCCATCAAATGAATATAATGTGGCCTATTCCTGACTATATTCCAGACTATACAGCTCAAGTAAGTTATTGTTTTGAATTGGATTGATCAGTTATGCACAAATGTAGATTCATTGTTCATTTTATTTTTTTCCTCTATATTGTTTCGAAATGTTGACGTGTGTCAATCAGTTTTTACATTTACTTATAATCGAGAATGGTTTGCACCAATAGTTTTGATATTTGTGTTTTCGACTGATAAATGTTGGTTCTGTGATAGAAGATGTGGGTTAAATGATAAAATAAGTGGTAAGCGGAATTTTGTATTTGTGACTGAATAGATTTTACATCTAATTTCTAACCATTACATCGTATATTGGGATGTCGTTCTAATATCTTACATTTTGCTCAGTTATCTTGTAGATTGCTTCCTACTGGTTAAGATATTAGACATATTAAGGGGTTTGATTAGTTTTTACCAAGATTTTGCGTTTGTGAAAGTGCTAACAATCGAAATATATTAAAGTACTATTTTCGTGAGGAAATGTGAATAAGGACTAACCAAGATGATGTAATAGAAGGATTATAATACTAGATTGCGTAATAGGGAAAAAATTTTCATATATATAGGATTGTACAGCTTGATAATAAATTCGTTGAAAAGAAATCCTTTCGCTGAACTTCTTGTTTTTAATGTTTAAATGGTAATTATCTGTCATTCGAAATTTGCATATTGCTAAGCACCTTTATTCATGGAGGTCATTTTATTATTGTCTGACATCAAGTAAAAAATGACTTACGACAAAATAATTATCGTGCGTCTAATTTTATTATAGTTATGCAATATGTCATTTAGTTAAAGCTCAAGTTAGAACAAAACGCCTTAGTTTAGGCTTCCTTTTTTTCAAGTTTTCAGGCGGCATGTATTTTATTTACATAAACTCTTCAACTTAAATAGTCTTGGCAAACTACTATATTTGTCTTAATTAATCATTCACCTTTTTACCTTTTTAATCCAACTGTTTACAGGCCCCTAGTTATGTGACTCATTTACTTGGTCATGAAAGCCGCGGAAGTTTACTGAGTTTATTCAAAAATGCAGGCTGGGCTAATCGATTAGCATGCGGAGTTAGTAGGCCAGCAGCTGGGATCTGTTCTCTAATTTTGTCTATTGATTTAACTTTAAAAGGACTTGGTGAGTCAATTATCAGTTATATTTCTTATCTTCAGCTGTTATTATGCCTGATTATATATGTGTTTTAGCTAAATGAGTTTAAGGTATAAATAAGTATAACAAAAAAAACCCATGGGATGTTCCATGGAGAATTTTCTTTTCGATGGTATATAGACTTATATGTCATTTAATTTATTTTCTTCAATTTTCTTATCTAGATAAAACTGATGAAATTATGACAAATGTATATCAATACATTAACATGCTTCGCTCTGATGAACCACAAAAGTGGATATTTGATGAAGAACAGGTAGGATATTCATTTTTCTTCGACCATTTCGAACTTTAACTAAGGAAGCTTATTTGTTGAGATGGTTATGCTGCATTACTGTTTGTTTGATGAAGATTAACTATTTTGTTGCCAATCGGTTATGTACATTAACACAGTCATTTATTTGTTTTAGTTCCCACATCACGTAATTAAAAAAATGAAAGGAGATAAATAAAAATAAACATTAGAGCTTTAGAGCTATTATTATTTGTAAAAACAACGGTTAAACATTTAGAATTGTAGTTTTTTGATTGTTTGCGAGTGTGATTTGATACTATGATGAGATATGTTTTTATATATTTATTTCTTTTCATTATTTTGAGTTATAATAATTGTATAATTAGGTTATGAGGTCACTTCTGAAGCGGAGGTCGTGTAGTGGGTTTTCTACATTTGTTACATAATACATTAATTAAATGTAGGGTCGTTGACTGAGTGGGTTGGAGGAGGCCTATGCTCCATTGGGAGTAACAGGCATAAGTAAGGTCGTTGATTTAAATTGAAAAAAATCAAAGTTGATAATTATTTTCGAGGCTTTTACTACAGTCTGATCTGTATTATTTGTCATAATTCCCCAGCTTTTAAATATACAAATTGTTGTAGATGTTAATTCCTCCCTGGGTTACAGTTGTTCAGTACGATTAGTCCTGTGACTAATAATCACTTTATTAAACCGGAATGTAATTAACCTTATTTGACTATTAACTAATCTTCTGGAGTCTAGCCAAATAATTCTTCCTCCGGAGATTTATGTTTTTAAGTGGTCGGGGCTAAGAGCGTCGTATCGTAGTTCAAAGAGGTATTAGAAATTTTGCTGTACTTCAAATTCTATCAAATGTACAACCTTTTATCTTGGATTGTGATCATTATATTTATAGTGCTAATGTTTAATGTTATACATTATCATACTACTTGTTTCTAATTATGATCATTCACTTATATCCAGACTTGAAAAAAGGCAGTTGCTTAGTTTGAATAATTTTTTCTGGTAAGCGTTTTTTTAGCGATTAGTTTTCTACGGGATGGGGACGCTAACCCCATGCCCAACCCTCCTCCTTTACCCGGGCTTGGGACCGGCAGTAACCCTATTAGAGCTACAGGCGGAGTTCAGTTGCTTAGGGCAGCCTTTTTTTACGTTAACCATTTATGTAAATAAGTTTCTAACCATAAATCAATATGATTTATTCAATGGATTTTTTTTCATTTATAGGCTTTATGTCAATTAAACTTTCGATTTAAAGACAAAGAACCACCTTATGAATATGTGACTGGATTAGCCGGTAATCTATTGGTAAGCAACTTCTAAAAAGTCAACAATTATTGCCTTGTAAGACCTTTCAATTGTTCGTGCATGAAATTGACTATTTTAAATCAAAGGAAGATTTTTGACAATAATCGAGAATCCAGTCGATGTTTATATTTATTGTTTTGTTGTTTTAAAATTCTATTGATTTTTTTATATCCCAACTGTATTAATAAAGAAGCAATATGTTGTTCAGTGGTTCTCCCTATTTTATGTTTAACTGCTGTCTGTAATGGAAGGTACGACATAATAACCGGTATCCATCTGTTCTTCGGAGCAGTGTTCATAGTTAAAGAAACTGCAAAATTCTCAATACATTCTTTCCTTATTTAGTTACTATCTACTAAAACAAAACATATTGAGTGTGTTCTAAGCATATTAGAGACCAGGTTGTACTCACAATTGCTTTCATGAGTTCATTCCTCAAAATCTTAAATAACTTACTGCCTCTTGTTTTTATTTATTCTATTTATTCTATACATTTTATTGTCGTAGTTCTCACTGTTTAAGCTAACCTATTTCTTCTGCAGTGCTATAAAGTGGGATACCTTAAACGGCTGCACTTGTAAGTATTCACGTTTTACTCTGCTCATTTAGATTTCTCTCTTTTCAAGCTTAAATCATACTGGCTATGTATCAGTTCATTCATTTATAGTAATCAAAAAAGTGGATTTATACAAACAATTGAAGCATTTTATTTTCCCACTATTTTCTCTTTCATTTCTCTTAGCTGCATACAGCACTAACATTTGATACCGATCTACTTTTCATAATTTTCCGGAAGAAATAGATTGTTCTGAAAGAAACTATTGAACATACTATAGTGATGATAAGGCATTTTAAATGCTAAAAGTGTTTTATCCATAAAATCATTCCTTAATATCTGTAATAACTTCTTCCCAAAGCCTGGTAGCTATTCCGATATCAAGCAGTTAATGCTCATTACTGTGGTTATCAAGCTATCTATTTTCTACCTGCCAATGTTTTAACTGAATGAATAGTGCTAGTTGACGAAAGTTCCATAACGTTTAGTCTAAAGGATTAATAAGTTATATAGATTATGTTGAATTATTCCCATTCATTATATCATTTTTCTTATGTGGTCCAGTTATCATGTCTTCTACGGGTTGAACTTTTCATATCGCTCGACCTGTCTCAAAATCAAAACACGACTTGAACAGGAGTGTATGTGTGTTTTGAAGCAAAGTGCAAAGTTAATCACCCATATATCTATTAAAGTGATAGTAACTTTACGAACGGAATACAAATCACAATCCATTAATTAGTAAAATACCGAAATTCCTATTGAATAAATCGGTACATACATAAATATATTAGAAGTTGGTAAATAAAGTTGGCTTCAAATCAGTTTGTGAATTCCAAAATTAATTTTTTTATAAATGTAATATTTTCGAATTTGCCGTTTCCAACACCAGTCAGTGTTTACCTCTTCAAAATATTTTTTCTAGCTTTATGACATGCAAGATGTTCTAACCGGTCCTTTCTTGGCAACTGTCTATGATCCAGATTTAATTAAAAAAATCTTAAGTTGTTTAACGCCTGATAATAGCCGGTATGTGATATTTGTCTTTTTTAATGTTTTTGATTTGCAGTACCGTGTTAGTTCATAATATTTGTAGATTTGAATATATGGTTTCTCATGTGTTTGCCATCTGATAATGAAAGTGTAGCTTATTCATTGTAATGTGGTGCTTCTGTTTCTCCAGTTCATGCAACTTCCTTCAGCCAATACGAATAGTCAGAATCATTTGAATTAATAAGGAATACTAGTTATTAGAGGTTTATAAAAGTATCTAACAGATCCAGATCATGTATAATTTCTCATTGACATGTGACTGACTGACAATATTTATAACTAAATTTTTTACTTCATATTCTTTGTAAATATAATATGTTCTAAATTTTGGGAATCTTAATATCATTTTAGACAAAGGACACAAATATTACTATCACATAATCACAATGCTTCCCCAAAGAGACTAATGAGAGAAAAGGGAATACAAGGCCTCCCGGAATGTAGTTTAAAGTTTGTCTCATCTTTTTCCTAATGACGCGAATTGGGATAAATACTTCTGGAGTTGTACAGTTGTGTTTCAGTACCATAGATTAAAACCCATGATTAGCAGAGTAGTGCCCGTATCTCAATGCACTATGTTAGAATAGTTTCTGGAAGGAACAAGTTATATATATATATATATATATATATATATATATATATATATATATATACCATTATTTTGCAACCAACAAATCCGAAATATCTCTTAACTTTTTATGTAATGTTGTCTTTATTATATAGCGTCTTTCTAGTCAGTCAGAAGTTTACAGATAAATGTGTGGAGGAAGAACCCTGGTATCATACTAAATACCTTGCTGTTAATATTCCTGAAAATACCTTGTCAGTAAGTTATTGTTCTTAGCAAATATTGTAATCGAGAATCTTATTCTAATTAAATATCGTTGTATAAATTGTATTTGATAATGCGAAGCTGTTGGATCTTATTTAAGACTGATCAGGATGTATATGTTCATCTGAATTTTATGGAGGTTTTTCGGTTAAAACTAGAACTGTGTTTGATTGCTTGAAATCCTGTAGTTATTCGAATTGTGAGTAACAATAGCCATCGGTTGTTCAGCAAAAAGTAGTTATAGAACCTTGGTCATGTGGTCGCGTGCCTAAACATGTTGTAACTAGCTATATATAGGCAATTGAAAATTTTGGACGCATCAGTACCATTCATCCAGTATTGTTACTTGTGCAGAAAATACTAAACGTCATTGTTCAAATTTGTAAGGGATTGGCTCTTTCATTAAACTACTTGATATCCATGTAGAGAAAGCTATCAATTCTCCATTAATTTCACGTTGTGAAAATTAAAGTTATTGATATGAATTGTCCATATATTTATGCGTTTTCTTCAGTACTTCTCGCTTTCCTTTTTGAGTTTTTCATTTCTGATAATTCGCTTCTTTACCATAGGCATGGCGAAATAGTTCTTCTAATCCAGAATTGAGATTCCTCGAGCCAAATTCATTCATTGCTACTGAATTCGATCTGGTGCAAAACAAATGCCCCATGAATGTGGAAATGCCAGAATTATTAATCGAAACAGAGATGTCTCGTATTTGGTACTTTCAAGATACAGAATTCAATCTTCCCAAAGGTTTTATCACATTTCATATTGTCAGGTTAGTTTCTCTCTCTCATTTATACTTATAAATACTAATGATTATTATGCTGGATAAGTGGACACTATTTCTTCGCTAGCAATATGGCATTAACTGGCTTATTATTATTAAGCTATTTGTCAGGTTCAGACTCTTGTACCTGTCTTTGAGAGACACTGAGTTTGGAGGTTAGTAATACCACTCGATTGCTGAAATTGAAGTGAATGAAGCAGTATTTAGATCTAGGATTTTATCGAACTTCCTAATCACTGATCCACCGTTCTACTTGTTTAGTTATTAGAAGTACATTTTTATCCCAATGGGGTGATAGCTTTGTACTAATTCGAATATTAAAACCACACTGTTATCCAGGCAGCAGGCTAATATCACCAGAGGCCATAGGAACAACTCATCTCATACCCGCGTACGCTAATGTATGCTTGATATATTAGTCAGTCAGTCAGCTACAACGTAGGACCAAGCACATATATGCATCGGTTCAAGTTGCCACACCTCATTAGCATAACAAGATGATCACCAAATTCATAGAAGCAGTTGCTTCAATGTTGGTAATATATAAAAGAAAGATTGTATTTAAGGATATAATATATGAGAAAAGAATTAGTTCGTAGACGGAAAGTATGAAGTATTTTTTTATCTCACGGTTTAAGGGAAGACAAAGAGTGTATACACCAACACCATTGTGATCGATTCTCAGGCATGTCATCCAGAGTCTCTAACCATTGGTTACGATAGTCGCGCCGACCTCAACCAAGTAGTCTGCATCTACTAACACGGCTCAGACCAGAAGTTAGGGAAATATCAGTTAAATTTATCTTGTCGTTGAAAGCTGACTTTTATAATCCAATGATATGTTGTTTTGTGCAGTTCATTTACCATATTTATAGAATTTAATTAAGTATCTTAACATTACTCTTTAATTATTTTATTTGTAGTCCATTTGCATTTTCGATCCTTTTCATACGTCACTTGGTTTAATTTACGCAAACTTATTTGAGGATCATATTAACGAACTAACATATTCCTCTATGCTTGCTGGAATGACTGTTTATGTGAAACACACGGTTGAAGGTATCAAGGTATGTAGCATGCAAGTTTATTTTGATGTAATTACTTTAAATAAAGTTTGTTTTTTGTATGTTTATTGTCTGTCACTTCAAAAGTTAATTTGATTGGGATATAGACATTTAGGCTAATCAATAAAAAAATCAGTGTCTACTTTTTATAGCTTGCATCAAAAATGACCTTAAACAGATAACCATTGAAAACTAAGAAGAACTGACAGCTATTTTGTTCTAGTGTTTGACTTTTCAGCATCACGCATTCATGATGCCACCAGTGTTCAAACTCAGGGCCTTCGAGTCCTGTGAGGAGCACTGTACCTGTAAATCACTGAGTCGCTTTACATTTTAGACTTTAATCAATCCGCAATATTGTTCTTGTATCCACCGCTTTTGGTAGTTAACTGTTTTGCTCTCATTGTAGTCGAATTCCACTAGTCTCATTTTAACACCGGGGAATCACCTTTCAAAATTAATCACCAGTAAGTTCGTGATTTTAGTTCTTTCTGTCGTTTGATTTGCATCCTCTTAAACGTTTATTTTAATTTTTTAGCTATCATTTTTAGGATATTCGCATAAATTGAAAAGTTTTGTCAAAGAAATCGTAACAAAATTTGTGAATTATTATCAACCAGTTACTGACCGTTTCGAATGTATTCGTGAGAATATGTCTCGAGAGTTTTCCAACTTCTCAATGAAACCAGCTTATCAACAGTCCGGTGCATATTTAACAAGTCTTATTTCAGATCATTCTTGGATCAGTGATGATTTTGTGCGCGCTTTTAAAGGTGAATATTCCTCATGGATGTTTTGTGTATTTCATCTCTTCCGTTAATCATAAATAACACTAAAACTTGATATCAATGTTCAATTATCTAAATTATCATACTTTACCATTAGCCTACAAGGTGTAAATGAACAGCATAAAAAAGCATACACTTTACAGTATATATATCCTAGTTAGAGCTAAGGATCGCTAAGATAATTCATATTTTTTATATTACGGTATATATTTGTGAAATCACAGTCTGAATTCATTTAATTCGCATGCTCTCAAGCAATTTACAATATTACTTCATGTTATTGAAAAGTATATCTTTTAACAATATCACATACTCAAATATTTCATCTGTATAAATGATTATAGTTGTTCATTCAAACTCCAGATCGTTTCAATCCTATTTTAAATTATGCAATATTTATGAATTGGATAATAAGAAAACAAAAAATGTGTGAAAATTGAGATGTGCTATACACTTTTTCAACCACATCTTTGTAGTATCAAGTGTATACGAAGAAATAGTAGGAAAGCTAATAGTTTTTAGAAAGGCTAAACATTTGCAACTTCCAGTACTACATTGGGTAAACACGAATAGTCACTGTCCACCCTGTAACCTTTTCCTTTATGTTTATTAATCATTTTCTATACTATCCTGAATATCTTGATTGAACAGTCCTTCTATGAATAGTAGCTTTGTCTGCTTGATATATTTGGTACACTGAATCACTCGACTGATGCTTCTTTTTGGTTCTAACAAAAAACCCAACCCGTTTGACTACTTGCATTTGTTTAGATGATCTTGCGAGTCAATTGTTTACAACAATATCCATATCACCGTCTACGCTGTACTCGATATATGTTTAAATCTTAGCCTCTGATCATATTGATATGTACCAGTCATTTTGTCATTATTAACGCTCACCGCAATGATCTCACGTGATTCTGTTACGCTCACTTTTAAGTGGATGTTGATACAAAAACGAAAATCTGATAAAGACTAACATAGAAAATCTTGTGATTGGTAATATTGTCGGCTACGTTAAATAATTTTGTTAATAATAAATATGAGCTTACAATCAAGAATAATAAACGTTTTGTTTACAAATGTGTATGTAAAAATAGTACGATTACACTTAAAACTACTAAAGTTTCAATACAAAGTTGTCGATCAATAAATTCACTGAATTCAAAGACGATTATCATACTGTTTATAAAATCTTGTATTAATTCCTTTCAAATAGTGTATAGAGGATATGTACTAAGGCTATTTGTAGTTACCATTATCAGTACAACAATTTTAATCTATCACTTCTGTATATATTTAACAGAATATCTCGAATGCTATTAGAGGTATGAGGACGGTTATCACTTCCCGGTTTCCCCCATTGTGGAAGGGTTCTTCTAGAGGTACCTGAAAAGGTAATCGGGTTAGAGTTGGTTTTAATCACTGAGAGCCTGACCGTAGTGCCTAAGGGACAACTGCTTGAGACCGGTCATACACGACCTTTTTGTTGGTAATTTTTGTGTTAGGTCCGTTCTTGTTGAGACCTTACCACCGGATACGGATATCCGTGGGATAGGGCAGGGTGTACATCTTAGGGTCGACCTTTCATAACTCCACCCTTCCTTTGTGAGAAGGCAGCATTGTTGTCATGCTGGTCGTCTGAGGGAAACACACTGCCGTCACACCTCTGTGCAGTCATTGTGTATTCAAATATTCTTTAATTGTCACTTAAATATATAAATCCTTTCATCATTTATAAATTTTAATGAATATATTATCTTTAGAGTAAAGATAATCTTCTTGTGGTTTAATTATTTCACTAAGTTTCGACTGAAATCTACGAAAGTTTGCCCCTATTTCTGTATAATAATGAAAATACTTCATTTCCCGCCTAGAGGTTACGTACGAAAGGTTAATTAACTTCATCATGGAATTTCATGAACGCATTTTTATTGAAGGCCTTATCTATGGAAATATCACTGAAGAGGTGAGTATACAATAATATGATATATATATTCTAGAACGAAAATTTGATCAAGCTTTCCTTATAGGTGGTTAGAATGTTACGATTATCTTTGGTGGAGTTTTGTTCTTTGAGCTGGATGGTCCAGCTACGTGTTCGTACATCGATTTTTGTGGTTTACAGTATACCTCGTACTTGCGTACACAACGCGCTATTTAAGTGCAAATTACGTTACTTACGCATCATACTGTAGAATATATCGTTTGTGTCTGCTACAGATAGTAATCTTTCTTCGATTACGATCTAAAGCATTGATATTCATTAAATTTGTCATTTCTGTAGAAAAGGCCTAAACCTCAAATGAAGTTATAACTAAATTGCTTTGTTACCTTTCTCTCTGGCGCGTCCAAGGTTGAGATGAGTTTATCGTCACTCAAAATCCTCATTAGGCCATGCTTTAATAGCCACTGCCAGGAAAGTTCTACTCACTGTCTTCTCAGTGCAGGGGCTGTTGTGCACAGAAATGAGAGGATAGAAAGCGTATGTTCGGCGTTTAAAGCGTGTTAATTGATTTGGAGCATTCACCTGGGTGAGTGAAAAACCCTTAATCTAAATCAATGGTGCACATAAACTCCAGGATCCTGAGAGACTGTAGCGTATTCCATCTGGGTAACTAACGGACCTCCATAGATCGTTTTGAAGTTTTTGTTGGATGAGGGGTGTAATATAATGCTATTTTCAAGGTTTATTAGTTTAAATGAGTGGTTAATAGTATAGAAGTTAAGATATTTTCTATATTGAAAAGAAAGTAGTTTTAACAATTTGGTTTAATACTTCACTAATGTACTATCTTTTTTAACTGGTCATAGCTACGTTTCAACTTTTCGTTTTTAGGATGCAATAAGTTATCACGAAATGGTTCGGGACTTGTTGGTACAAAAGATGAATTCTAAACCACTTTTACTGTCTCACATCTTAACCTCTCGAGAAGTAATAATTCCTGAAGGTAATCATCTTTGTCCACCACTCTTCCGGAAATACAGTTTATGATTATTTCTGACTATTATTCTACCTCTTTTACAATTTCGTTTTATTGCAATTTATTTCTAAAAGTGGTATTTGGGGATTCTATATTTTATACAATTAGCTATATTTGTATTGTTTGCAAATTGTCAAATGGCTAACTATGCACATGCATTTTCAAAGTGCTCACTTCGTCATAGGTTATTAGTCTTTGACCATAAATGCCTACGTATGTTTGGACCATTGAGTAAGCAGTGTCAAGGCTGAACGTAGCCCACTGACTAGGTAAAGACTCCGAATCGGTCGATGATTCTTGAGTATCCATCGACTGAAATAGCTGTGATTTGTATTACATATGTCCAAACACATCTACCACGAGTAAGAGTAAGTTGAAAGGAAGCTGAATGTTGAACTGAACTGCATTAGTAGGTACAGACTACTAGGTTTCGGCCCGCGCGGTTATCGTAATGGTTGGTTAGTGGCATGGCTCAGAAGATCGTTCGTAATGGTGCAGTTACGTCTTCATCTGCTGGATGCCGAATTTTTAAATGATTGTAAACCTTTCTGTTCCACGAATTCATTCTTTTATTATTGAGATTATGGATCGACTGATGTTAGACCGCCATAGAAAACATGGAAGCACTGGACTCCTCAGCAGTGCGCGTCCACGATCCCGCTGAGTCCTATAATAGGGCGAGACAGTTGTTCAGTGCTTCCATGTTTCCAATGGTGGTCTACATCAGTCGATTCATGATCTCAGCCAAGAACTTAATCTCCATAACCCTATACTGATCATTCTTTTTTGTCGAGTCATATTCTTTATACCTAACCTTTCCCACAGATAGCATCTTTACTTCTAGTTCTCTGGTATTTATCTTGACAATTTCATCTCGTGACGATATGGTGTGTCAGCTTGAACTGATGCACATATGTACAAGATTCTACTTTATCTATCACTAATTGTCTCTTTGTCAAGGAAATCAGTCGAAACCTGGTCCATCAGACAGTCAAACTGTAGATTTTAGTGACATACTTCATGTGTTGTCATATTACAAGACTTTTACTGTAATCAAAACCTTTGACTAAATTTTAGCTTACTCATAGTACTGCAAAAGGTGAAGTTATTTGTTATCCAAATTGTGTACATGATTTATTTTGTTGATTATCCTTATTCCAATTGTTTTTCTTATTTTATTTAGATTCCAGTTTTCTTTATCAACGATATATTTCTGGTCAACCGGCTTCTGCGATTTACTATTATCTTCAGTGTGGTGAACAATCTACGTTTAATGATACATTGCTTAATTTGTTTTGTCAGATTGTCAGCGAGCCTGTTTTCAATAAATTACGTACCGAGCAACAATTGGGTGAGTAATTGTTGAAAATAAAGCACAGGAAAGATGTTTTATCAACTTCTGAGTAGAAGGAGTATAAGTACCTAAGGCTTTCGACTTTCAGTCACTAAGTTAGGATTTCGGACCTTACTTAACGTGTTTCTGTTCAGGCAACTTCTTAGTATCACTGTCAAGTACACAAATCTGTGTCTCGCAAGTGATTTTATTATTATTATCCTGTATATTAGTTAGAAGCTAAATTAGTTGCCATTTTTAGAAATTAAACTTTTATGGAACCGATTGCGATTGTCATTAAATTGATTTCGTAGATAACACTACTAAGAATTGAACAAAATAACATGAATTCATTCTGCTCAATTCTTTGTTCTTATTCTATCCAAGATAACAAAGGGGACTAAATGTATGAGATAATGCTACGCTTGACATAAACTTGGAATGTATTTCACTATGGTTTTATCAGATAAACCTCGTAATTTTTGTGCCTAATTTTGACTTATATTCAGTTTTATTAAAATTTTACTTACATTTTATTAACCTAAAATTGACCATTCTATAGACGTTTTATTCTCTCTTGTTTTTTCATGTTCACATTGAAGGTTATATTGTACAGGCTGGACTTCGACGATCCAACAAACTGCAAGGTTTTCGTATTTTAGTGCAATCATCTTATCATCCTAATAAAATTGATAAATGTATCGAAGAATTTCTACTTACTGTAAATGTGAGTGTTACTGATTGTTTTCCTTCCATCAAACTGTATACGTAATGGATTGTTGTCTGTTCTGTTCCGTCCTGTCATCTATGCTCTCATACAATGTATACGCCTCCAATATGATGGCTTGTACTTACGTACAGACTCCTTGATACAATCTACTAACTTTTCCTTACATATTGGTATTTTAGAAACTGTTAGAAGATATGTCTGATGAAGAATTTAATGTTCATGTGCAATCCCTCATGACACATTTACTGGAAAAACCGAAAGGTATGCAAGAACGATTTGGGCGTTTATGGTCTGAAATTGCTTGTCGACATTATAATTTCAAACGACGTAAGTTCATTTTATGGTTATTATTCAACCTTTATCTAATATATTATTTTTACGATTACCGATCTATTTAGTTGTTCTGTTTTATACATAGAATAAGATTTTCTTAATGTTTAATTTGTGAATTAATTATAACACAAAAACCAATTAGTAGGTGTTAATACGTTGTTTTTCGTTAAATTAAAATTATTGTGAAAATTTTAATTGTGGTGATGTTGCAACTAACAGTTTATTTATTAAAACAATTCTAAATTTTTACCAAATGCATTCATATTGATTATTTTGTTATATGTATATATTGCATAAGTGAAACTGTTAGCTATACTTTAACTGTTCAAATCAGTTACTATTACTTGTCAAATAAAGAACTGATGAATCACGCATGATTGCTTGATTCATGTGTAAGTCGTTTCCAAGCATCGTTTCTTATTGTACATGAGTATAATATGTTTATGCTATATCTTTAAATTTGTTGTTCCAAGCATTTAACGCTTAGAATGCTAATCATCCAAAGTATTTGTTAATGAAAACGCTTTTCAAAGCCTTATGCATTAATACTTAATTGTTAACAGAATAATCTACCAATGTTTATTTAATGTTATGAATTATCTTCATTGAAAATATTACTTATAATTACAGATCTTCTTTATTTATATTTATGCCTTCAGTAATCAGTTTGTGTTGGATTATGTAAATTTAGTGTTAACTGATGCCTCCATACGGTCCAGACTTATAAATTTCTTATGTTCATAATATTGACTTTCAGTGGAATTCAGATTGGGAGTTTTCTTTAATCTCAGTTTTTACTAGAATTATCTACATCCTAACTTTTTCGCTGAAAACTTGAACCCTGTTTCAATATTTTTAGTCGCAATAGAGTTATCTGCTAATCTCCTGATTCACACTATCCAGTAAATGCTTCGCGAAACGACATATTTTTATACTCAACATAACATATCTTAGATATTATTATTTATTTTAAGACATATATATTGGTACAAGGAGGCACCAAATACATATGCGCCACACAAATCTCATTCGATATGTGTGAGGGCTGTGGTACTGCCCGGGTGCCCGAACTGAAGCAGGTGGTTTTCTTAGGGGGCCACTCCCCGAGCCTTCGACCTGAATGTCTGATCCACAGGGCAGTGGAGCATCGTAAGGAGATGCAGTCCCATGGAAGCCGGTGACCAACGATTGGTTCATACGCCATTTGTTCCCGCAGGATACTGGAGCCCATGTGCACCATTGGTTTGGTTTGGGATCCGGTTAAAGCGCCGGACATTCGCTTTTCGTCCTCCCATTTTCGTAAACAACACCAGTGGTACGAGAAGGCAGTGAGTAGGACTTCCCTGGCAGAGGCTATATACGCGTGGCCATGTGGGAGCATTTGGAGAGGGAGAGCGGACTCTCCCTACTCTCGGCCATACCAGGGCATTTAGGGGCTATCTTAGATATGAACGTTTAATATGGATAAACGACCAGCTTCAACTTATGTTGTACTGATTAAAAACATAACAACAATTTTAACCGTCCTATTTACAGTGAATAATAATTTCTTTCCTTTATCTTGAAGATTTACATGAAGCCGATGTCCTGAAATCGCTGAAAAGAATGATGTTGTCGATTTCTTTAGAGTACGTGTAACTCAACAAGACACTTTTCGTTCCTACATTTAATTTAAAATTTTATAAGCTTCATTTGTTCTTTTTTTAAAAAGATATGTTATGGTAAATTTGTAGCTACGTAAAATTATATGTGTAATCTCCAGCTTTGTGAATATTGTAAATAATCTGTTCAGTAGATTGAATTGTGGAACCCTATCCACCTGCTTATCGAAGTAATTCGGTCTTAGCTCTATCAGATTCAAGTTACAAATATTTTAAAAAACGCCAACATTCCATTTCGTGCCGTAATAATTAGACTTCACAATAGAATAAGTTATTTCAGTTATTTAGTATTTCAATATTTAGTTAGCCATAGTTTATGCGTAAAATGAATCGATTCACATAGGTGATTCGATATTGTTTTCTTCTTAAGTGGATATTCTGACACTGGTCGCTAGGTTGTAGTGTCAGCTGCTATGTCAAGCTCATATAGCTTATTCTAGCTTCCGGATAGGTTAATCTATTCATTCTCCTTGAGTAACATTTTGACCTTGTTAATTACTCGCTTATCAACCCTGAGTGTTTTTATATGAGCGTATAAGTGTACATCTCTTATCTTAACCATCACATGTCTAGCTTCTTTTTATCTGACCATAAATATCAATTCACACTTGGTTAAATCGAGTTCTTTTATATATTACCACCTTTCAATTAATTACTTCTATGAATCTGGTGTTCATCTTGCTGTGCTTATGCGGTATGACAACTTGGACCAATGCATATATGTGCCTGGTCCTACGTTGTCGCTGACTGACTGAAATCGAGTTGGCTTATTAGAATTAAAGGCATCCACAGACATGATAGGAGGATGATATGTAAATGAAAAATGTGTGGTGTAATATAAAAATGACCTCGACCAAGTGAATGAGTATAATAATATGCAAAAAATAGCATGGTAAAAAGGAACAAACTCACTTGGAGCAGGATAAATTTGCGTTTTTGAGTGATTAAAATAGTCCAATGAGTTTCGGGTGCCATAACGTGCATGGAATGTTCATAAAATTATAATTTGTGCGGTAAGTGATATGGTTGCGTTAATGTCATAATTTAATGTCATCACGAACAGCAATAATCATTCCACGTTAAATGATAATGTGATGATGAGACTAGGATAATTATTTGAATCATAATAGAACGATACGCCAGATGGATCAGTAAGATTAGTACATGTCCGTGTCGTGCTGTACAGTCTTCGCTGAATCTTTTCTGATTGTTGTTGAGATATACGTATCACCACTCGTATATAATCAACAACTTGAATCGTTTTAGTGAATAAAGGAATTAAATAAGTCAAATACGAGAATGAATTTCGAATATGTATATTTCTTATAATCGTTGGTCCAGACAAAATATCGGAGAAGCGAAGAGAACGAAGCAAAATGACGTTCGGTGCAGAAGGCGTTTGAGCCAACTCGATTTAACCAAGTGTGAATTGATATTTATGGTCAGATAAAAAGAAGCTAGACATGTGATGGTTAAGATAAGAGATGTACACTTATACGCTCATATAAAAACACTCAGGGTTGATAAGCGAGTAATTAACAGGTCAAAATGTGACTCAAGGAGAATGAATAGATTAACCTATCCGGAAGCTAGAATAAGCTATATGGACTTGACAAGGTCATCACCATATTTTATTGTTTATATATTTTAATTGAAATAAACTTTTGTAACTAATGTTCATCAACTAAATAGTACAATTTTTCCAGTCTGATCAATAATGGTAAATGTTTTCGATTCTGAAGTCTTGCTTCGACCTTTTCAGGAACATTTTTACATAAACAAGTGTACTCATGATTTATCACTCCTGAAATTATCTTCGTTGAAACAGTGCAACCATGTTTCTCATTCTTAAACTGTACAAACTTTATAGATTTAATAGTTTAGGGATTAATAAATGATTTACATATGTATTTTGTGTGTTTATTTTATTTTGTACTGAAATATAGTCGACTGGAAACTTAATCTTTACTTATTGATCATTTTATATAAAATGTAGAGGTATATGGATCCATCATCATGTAGAAGGAGAAAATTAACAGTTCATGTATTATCAAACGAAGAGCATTCCTATGATTCGGAATACAATAACCATGATGAGAAGGTCAGTATATATATACAGAATTTGTAATCTGTTTTCATTGTTTAATTTCCATAAAATGAGATGGTATTTTATCAGTATTCATCGCAATAAATAGCGATAGGTTTTTGTGTATATGTAATAAACACTTCTGTAATTTGAATCTTTCGACCTACGAATCAATCAATCATCCATGAAATACAACATATCTCAGACGTGTATCAGCTGAAGTTGTGACACGGAATACCAGTACAACGAATAGGGAATTTAAAAAAGTGGAAGTACATAATGTTTATTTCATTTCTTCACCTGATGTTGTATTCGATACACTATTGTTTCTTGCCCATGTTTTAATCTCAACATTGTCTCGTAATTTTCTATCTTGATTCAGTAGTCTAAACAAATGATCTACAGATAACTAAAATAGACGTACAGTCTTGTTGAACTTTTCTCACGAAAAGTCTATAATGCCTCTAGCATTCATTCATCGTAAATTTTACCTCACGACTTATTACACTTGACTGCTTATAGATGGTGAGCATTAGTTGGCCGGCAACTTCCATCTTTTTTTGCAATTATATTATCACTATCGGTCTTATAAGGTTGAACATACTTACCATAATTACTGTTCGTCGATATTTGGCAAAACTCATAACAGATTTACCTAAAATCAATAAAACTGAAAAAATTCCTTTTGTGTGGTTAGTATGATAACGGATATCTGTTGTCCATATCACAATCCTGGATCTATTATTACGCAACGTTTGACTGGTGGCCGATTAGCATCCTGGATTGTTGCTGTTTTATTTTCAAAAGGCGAGTTATTTGATATGGATGTAACATTTATATACTGAAGCAACACTTCCGCGATTATACTCAGGCTTCCAATATTTGTGTCCTTTTCTAAGTGAGATGGCACTTTTAACCGTATACTTTCTCGATGCTTCTGGAATTTAAACATCACGCCTACATATGGCTATTAACCTGATATTACTGTTCAAAAAATGAAGTTGTCAACCACTAGTAATTCTTTTATCGTCTATAAGTAATACTTTGGTGGATATAAGTAGCCATAGCACCTAATAGTAACATTGCTTGGTTTAATCTGTTATTCTACTGTTCCCAATTGAAATTGCACAAAGCATGGTTCCTGTATTTCAACATGTGAGATTTTCTCGGTGGTAGATGATTTCATCATCTGTGTATTAACATTGTTGCGACTAGGTCGTGGCACTTGAGCAAGTCAGTAACGATAACTTGTGGTGATTAATTTGATTGGTGTACCAAACCCAATCTTACGACAAGGTATCATCTTGTTTCGTTGCTTTTGAAACATGCATCACTGTATGTAAAAAAAATTTCGAAAATTTAATTGTGCGGCTTCCGAAATGAATGATATTGTTTACTTTTTTCTAGTGCATACATTTTACCATATCTATTTTTTGTTCGTGTATTGATTGGTATGTAAACTAAAGCCTATCTACGTTGACTTTTTCTTTGGTTTAGGTAATTGTTTTAAAGGATTACACCGAATTGAAACGTTGTTGTCCTTTGAGCGCTTTAGCGAGACCATTCATGGTGTTCACATCCAAATGTGAAGGGAACGTACTGCGATTTTAATTCGGTTTTCTGCATTACATATTTAGAGGTATTTAATATATGGGTCGTTCGGTGATCGTCAAAATGTCATTTTCAAGGTTTCATATTTTCTACATTATCTTTACTTTTCTCTTGGAGAAATCGTGGATTTAAGTCAACTTTAGACATATTTCAATTCTAAAATCCCCGGACGAAAATTAATAAGATGTAATCGTCCCATTACTTATGTGCCCAGTTATTTGTTAAAACATTAGTTCTTAACTTTTCTTGGTGTCTTGATCAATCAAGATCTCTTCATGTTTTCGCTTGTTGTACAAATTTCAAAAATTTCCTACGGTTGTTTTCAGGCTTTTATATTTCTCCTTGATTTTACGGTCTTTTCTTCTACGTATTCTTTTAATACACATCTAAACTGACTTTGCTTTTTTCTGTATGATACATAGTACATGTTCGTTGATAAGTCATGACACACGATTGACTGTAGAAACAATCATAAGAATATATTGTTTTCCATTAACACAGTTTTAAATTGAAGGCGTACGCAAGACGATGAAGCCATTATTCACAAATGACGGTGCTCTTTATCTCTCTTATTACTAGTGAACTAAATTTACTTGTCAAAGACAGTATCATATCTCATCGTTTTCTTTTGTTCTAAAATCTAAGTTGAGAACTTTCCATCATGCAACTATGAAAGTGATTGTATAGCTTGTTATATAAGTACATAAACAACCGTGAGTTAATAGTAATGAATCTATATGGTGGATATCAGGACAGCATGTTATAGATCTGGTTAACTGTAACTTTAGTGTCATTATCCGTAAAAATAACAGATGGAAATATCAAGTCGAAGCAAACCACAATAATCTTTATATTGAAGACGAAAGGCTTGTTTCACTAGCTTCAAATTCGACATGTGTTATGGACATTCGTCCTGTTATTGTGTGATCTCGTGACTCATTTTGCTGTTTGGACTCTCATTGTCCGGCTTCTCAGTCTAAGATATTGGTGCCTACTCGAGACGCGAGTGACTCAGTAAGATTGGGATGCATATGGTAGATTGATCCCTTAATGGTGACGGTTGTCATGCTCGTACAGTTCATATTGGCTGTTTGATGAATGTCAACTCATTGTCTATGTACATGAGGGTGCATGAACGACAGTCTGTTGTTCATTTCCAGTGTGACCTCCACGTAATCGAACAGGTATGTAACAGAGTTATTAGCACACTCCTCATCTATGTAGATGATGAGAATGGAGGAAACTGGTGTTTCCGTTCGTAGAAATCCCTTTGATCAAAAGAAAGGGCTTGTCAATATTCATGAAAAATTGAAGTGTGTGTAATTTGAAATGCCATCCTCCAAAAAGTTTGTAAAATGAATGCATTGATATTACAGGCTTCTGGGAGACGTGAAATTTATTGATTAAGATCAGGACTATTGTAAAACCCCAATATAATACAACTGAAGTTGAGCAACGAAGCTATAACCACCAACACAGGACTACCTGTATATTCAAACGCGCGTCGACCGTCTCCCGAAAATCTATAATTGACTGGAAGTGCTTTCGGACGTATGATTGACCTGGGAATAGTCTATTGGTATCGCCTTTTCACATAGTCTCCGAAGGGGATAGCAAAGACTGTCCTCCAGCTGTTGATTATCAATGGCTTGACATGAAATCCACTACCTTGTTTTCCAATTATTTCAAAAATATGGCATTACCGAATACATTCAGGAATGCCAGATTGGAACTGATACACTCGATTTCTCGTCCACACTACTGACACTCAAGGTATTCGCCCTGAGAAAAAAAATCGAAACCGCTCTCGATCACCAAGAAATGATCATGATGATGCAGTTACGCAGATCTTTGTCGACAATTCGTACCGATTTGCGGGTCTCGTGGAACTTTTTACAAGCCAATTTTGTAGAAATGCGAAAGCCTTCAATTCGGATGACAACGCAAAAAATAATTCTCCACAGTTGAGGAAATTATTACGAAAGCAACCACACTTTCACACTAGGACGTTAAAGTACCCATCAGTATCGCCATAGACGTGTCCGACTAGGCAACTATTGGACCCAAGGTGGACAAAAAAAATAGATTCGAGTGAGTTGCTGTTATTATTGTGGCCATGAAATAGAAAATGCTTTGCACACACAAGGAGTTGCCCGAAGGGCACTTATAGCATGGGAATCACATGAATCCAGGATCAAAAGGCATCCTTCAAAACAAAGAAGAAGGGAATCGCACTGAATGCTATCCAATATTATGCAGCCAGCAATGATGATAAACGTCAGTGTTACGAGAGTTTGCAGTCGATTATAGCGAAGCGCCCATGAAAGTACCTCACCATCTTGATAGGATACCTAAACGATAAAGTCGGGATGGACAACACTGTTTATGAAGATATCATGGGACGAAATGGACTGACTTGGATGAAGGAACGAGAATGGTGATAGATTTGCAACTTTATATGACTTCAACATAATATTTATAAGCAGTACAATGTTCCCCCACAAACGCATACACAAATCTATATGGGTCTCACCGGATTACGCTACAGTGAACTAGATCAATCATATTTGCATCGCTAATGAGTTCATAAGGTCAGTGGAAGACGTGTTAACCAGGAGAGGAGTATACATAGATTCAGATCAACACCTGGTGGTTGCCAAAATAAAGCTGAACCTAAAGAAACACTGGACAACTGGGGAAACAGCATTAAAAAGGTTCAATTCAGCCTTCCTTAGAGATACTGACAAACCCAATCACTTCCAGATGGCCATTCAAGACCTACGCATAGAGGAATCTGTAGTGACATCTGATCCTAACCACACAATCCCCAAAGCTGAACTCAGAATAACTGGAAAACCAGATATCTAATATTTGACTTGGAAAGAAGGTCAAGATTGGACAAGGCTGGAAGAAAGAATTCAATTCAGTCAGATGGCATGGCTCAGCCTTGCAGGCGTGGTCATTCTTGTGTAACTTATTACTTTTATTCATATTAAATATGTCATTTTGTCTCCAACCTAAATATGTTCTCCAGCTTATATTGATGATTATACGATACGATGAGTCAATGTAAACAATGATGTGACTTCCGCCTAGGATATTATACATTAGGCAGTTACATCATGGCAAATCTACAATTTCAGGATTATGTATATTACTAGAGCAGTACTAACAACGAAGTAAACCGTAGTTCTACAAATCGACTACTGCGGGTAACATGAAAGGGAACAAAGAAGTGTGAAATTATGGTCCGGTTCGGTATTAGTACTACTATAATAATCTAGACCATGATACGACTGCTGAATCTCTAAGGTCTTCTGTGAAAGTTACGTCATTTCA